GCTGTTGTATTGTGGTAAATTGTGGTCAATGTCATGAGACAATGTGTGTGTGAACTGCTGTATGGAAAGTGTATTTGCTCTGTAAATTTTCACCCAAATCACAATAAAAAGGAAAAAAAAAAAACATGTATATGTCTTATAAACCCCATATGCCTGTGGGTTAAAGACTCCTGGGGCATAATGGTTAAGTGTTAGGCAGTTACCAAAAGGTCAGGGGTGCAAACTCCCAGCAGCGCCACATGACCACAGCCCGGGAAAGCCTTTGGGGCAGTTCAGCTCTGTCCTGTAGGGTTGCTTATGAGTGAGAAGCCACTTGACGGTGTCCTGCCGTGGTTACAGTCCCCTCGGACTCGGGAATGGGTTTTCTTTGTGCTGGTCACGAAGCAGGACTGGTGCAGGGAAGCAGAGATGGGGAAGGAAGACAGGTACCAAAAGATCACCCAGGAGCTAAGGAAGCTGACAGGAGACCGGAACCCTCACCCGGTGCCCACAGACAGACAGAGACTTCTTGGACAGCCAGCGCCCTGAATCCAGACTCCTAGCCTCCTCAACTGTGAGAAAGTAAAGTTCTGTTTGTGAAAGCCACTCCCTTACGGTACTTCTGCCACAGCAGCCAGAGAACAAAGACAGCCCCTTCCCTCCCCACCCTCGCTGGAACACCATCGCTGAACTTCCTGCTTTTGAACGCTTAAGGGTTGCATCCAGCACCTTGACCCCACTTCTCTCTTCCACCGAGTAGGCCTTGCCACTCACCACTAACCCAGGGTCCAACCTCCGACTGCTCACTCTCTCAGGGGCCACAGCAGAGGGGAACGCCTAACCTCCTTCCCCTCTCAAGAGAGCAGGTTTCTGTTCCTGTCTCCTAGGAGACCAAGAGTTCTCCCCGCTCCTTCTAGAACTGGGCCTAAACTCTTGCAACTGCACCCCCTCCTTGCCCGTCTCCTGCAGACCCTGTCGCCAGGAGTCCATTCTAATTCATGGTGACACCTCCAGGTGTCGGAGTAGAACCCTGCTCCGTGGGCTTTGCAATGGCTGCTTTTTCAGAACCAGGTCACCAGGCCTTTTGTCCGAGGCACCTCCGGGTGGATGCGTAACCACCAACCTTCCGGTGCCAAGCAGTCCACCATCTGCACCACCTAGGGCCGTCTAACTTCCATCAGGTGGAGGAATTCTGTCCAAAGGAGGAACAGAGCCCACCGCCCCTC